GTTGGTTGGTTGGATGGATGGATGGATGAATGAAGGATTGGTGGATGGATGGTAGAAAGAACTCAGASMAGTTAAGATCCTGAACAGGACCATGAAGCTCCCAGGCCTCTGCTGATGGCCTGAGTTTAAAGTGAGCTGGAACAGCTGATGTCAAACAGGATGTTTTGTACATTTATTTTATTTTTTTCACTTATTGTTACATATTAGTTTTGGTCTCTTTGTTAAACATGTAGAGTTCAAGTTTTATTTGAAAAATTACATTTTAATAAAYGTGAGTGAAGTTTTCCTCAGCCTGTCAGGATTCATTATATTTGTTGTTAGTCTTGTGAAGCCTGAACACTGTTTGTTACTCATTTTAAAGAAAAGGAATCGATATGCTACTAAATATAAAAATGAAGGTAAATATGAGGGCAAAACATTGAAAAATAAAAAACATTTTATCAATAATTGTTTGATTTGTAAAAGTAAAATTTGAAGTGAACGCTACAAGAATGAACATGTTTTCTGGAGATCCTGAGAGCTGCTGTGGCTCAGAWCATGTGTTGGCAGCCATGTTGAATCAGAGTGAGACGACATGTTTGGACAGTGAAAGAAGACCGTCCAACAAAGATTTTCTGAGAGTTTCWTTGATTTATGTTCAGTGGTTCATGAGACAGTTCAAAGAACTTTCAGCTTTKGAAGAACTTTAAGTGTCTTTAGTCATTAGATGTTTTTGGGTATTTGGGGCTTGAAAACCTTTAAAGGTACTGTTGAAGTTGCAGAAACAGAACTGCTTTTTACTAAATGTGAACACAGATTTACAAACTGAACTTTTGTTTTTATTCTGACATCCAAACACATTTAAGCACAAATATTTTTTATAAATTATGAGTAAACATTTTGTACTTAAATTAAACAATGAGCTGAAAATTGGTTTTGTTTTAATAAGATGAAGTCTGATTCTCTGGTTAAATAAAGTCCTGAACATAATTAACACGTCAGTTATTTTCATCTGGAGCTGAAGCACTTATGTTTTTCACAGAGGTTGAAAACAAAAGTATCATTTTAATAAGTTATTAATAATTAAAACCAGATCTGCCTTTAAGAAGAAACCAGTTGAGGTTTGAATTGTTTCTCTTTAAAACCAAACAAATAAATGACAACAACAGTTAACTGGGAAGTTTTTCATTCATTCAAAAAGGGTTTTTCAGACTTTTTCACAATCAAACATTACACAAATTCAAGTCAGTGACAGTACAGACAAATGTTAGAAAAGTACTGGTTACTAATTACTACAATTTTACAGACTTTATTC